TTTATGCTATTTCTCCCATCTAACAGAATGCTTTCTACACAGTAATATAACTACATTATGGTAAAATCCTTGCATTTAAGTCCAGTTTCAAATTACCTACACACAATGTGTACTATTTCACAAATGTTGTTCTTGCATTGTTTACAGTTGCTTTTCCTTTAAGTCCATCCTTCAAATTATACCTTGTGTGGTGACAGCAAATGATAACCATAAATGTAGTTATTTATTAACAGATGAGGGCTGAGTGGTTTCAACTTCCAGAAGAAGAAAAAATCTGGTATAATTATATCATGGATTCATCCTGAAGAGCTAAAAATAGCTCACACACAAATACCTAAGTTCAGTGTTTCTTAAGGGACTGTTTTTCTTAGAGCACAAAACTGATGAACTCACAGCTTTGAGGTAGAACTTGGAGTCAGGGTTGAATTTCTGCATAGCTTTATGTCTTAGGATAGTGCCTGACACAAGTACGAGAGTAATAAGTGGTTGTTCTTCTACAACTGTGCATTGACTCCAATGTGGAAGAGTTTTCAGTGTGTCCTTGTATGAAAACTATTTCAGCCCACTTGTTAATTCAGGATGCTATAACTACATCATGATGGTGCTGTGTCTTGTGCCATCAGGAAGGGATTTTCCAAGCCAGTTTAGATTCAATTAGAAGTCAAGATATTGAATTTTAGCCCTATATATGCTCCTGATTACATTTCAAAAGGGATGATCATTTTATAGCTTTCTTAGGTAAGTGGTTTCTAAACTCAGCTCACCACCTGAAACACCCGAGATATTTTTAAAACTACAGATAACTGGGCCCCTTACAAGAGCTGCTGAATCAAAATCTCTTGGGATTACATCTATGCATTTTTTAAAGCTTTTCCATTGATTGATATTGTACATCTAATTTTGGAACCCACTGCTACATGTCCTTTAATCAAAATTACTTTGAACAGAATAACCAAGTGGAAAGAAAGGAGCTATTGGTTGAGCACTCATACACCAGTACTTGAACTTGGGTATTATATCATTTCATGTGATTCACTCAGCAGCCCTAGCAGCTGTATATACATGTTCACTATATCAACAAGGCAATGAGACAAGGAGATGCTGAGAGGTAAACTGATGTCCTTAACGTCGCACAGCTAGGAAGTGGCAGAGTGATGACTGAGAGCTGGATGCTTATGGTCCCAAAGACCACTTCTTGTCAATGGTGATAAAAATGCTAATTTTGGGGTTTTTTGTTTTAGGTGTTAGAGTTAACTTTGTACGTTTGTAGACACTCCTTTGAGAAAACTCATTTTTACTGAATTTCAAACTTGGATGAAACAAACACGTAAAAATGAAAACCCTTCACTGGAGTCACCCCCACTTTCTTGTAATACCAATTTTGTCTCATGAAGTCCCAGCTTCCTTCTCAGGGAAGCCTTCCTTGACCCACCATTTATTACAGGCCAAGTCAGATGTTTCATGTTCTCTCATAAGTTCTTTTGCATAGCTCTTATGACAATGCTAATAAGCTGTTTTTATATTTATTTATTAAAGTGGATTTCTTCCTCATTACACTGTAGACTTCATGAGTACAAGGATCCTGCTCATCTTTCTACCCACAGCACCCAGTTCAGGGCTTACCCCATAGTACTTATTCATTAAGGCCTTGTTGAATGAATCAACGAACTCCTGTGCTCTTTCCCCTTAATGGATGTCTATTATTTGTAATGTACATAAATATACCAAAAGGTTCAGTAACTACATTTTTTTCTATAATAGGACTATTTAAGAGCATTAAATAAGAGTTTTAATTACCTAATTACAAAGAATTAGGTAATTAATACTTAATTTTATTTGAGTTAACTTTATTAACTCATAATTAACTAATAATTAAATCAAATTTAGACAAAAATTACTTTTTGATTTACATTATTTGTCATTGTTTTCGGACTTATATTACAGAAATATAATCTGATCAAAACCAGGAATTAATCACAAAGCATTAAAATACACATTAATAATTTCTTCTGTTGTAAAGTAGTCTCATGTATTTTGTTTGTATAATGATTACATGGTTTTGAGAAGAACCTGATGAATGGCTTGACTTTTTCTGGCTTTCATAAAAAGAAATTTTACTTTCTGTTGTAATTCACATTCATTGAGATAAAGTAACTGCAGAGATCCCTCTGGCCTCACTTGTTCCTGTAATCTGACCACAAAACAGATATTTTCATTATTAAAGAATCTATCTTTCAAGTAAGATAGAATGATAGATTCAACACCTGGATTGAAACTCAGGCAATAGCCCCAAATAAATTAAAACAAATTCTGTGGGTGCCATTAATCAGTGATTCCCAATTACTTCCTTCACATTGGGATCACCTGGAAAGCTTTAAAAATTACAAATGCCTGTGACACTTCCCCCAGAGATTGCGATTGACTGGTCTGAGGTGTGACATCAGTTTTGGAATTTTGACAGGTGATTCTAATGGGGACAAGTTTGGGAACCATTATTATTAGTTTCTGCCTCTTCAGACAAGGTAGCAGAAGTATTGATGTTTCCACCCTAATACTGAAATAGATTTGTAGAATGCCATGTTAACTCTGAAACTGGAATTTAGAGCTGAATTTTAGACCTAAGCTTGCCTGCAAAGGACTGCAGCTAGGAGTGAGAATACTTCGGGCATTTCTTAACTTGGGAATCTTTCATATCCTATGTGTCAAGACCTGAGACTGGGACCAATTCCAATAGGAGTTTTGAAAGTAAGTTTACCACCAAAAGGGAAAGTTGAAAAGGAGTAAGAATAATATATGGATTTTTTAATCCCGCCCTTCCCTACTCTTCAAAACACAGCTGAACTGAGCAGCTTGAATTATAACTCTGTATTAGTTGAAAAGTGGGGATTAAAATGAGTTTAACATGACACGATTTATTAGCTGAAGAGATCCATCATAGTAAGCTCTACTGAAGTACCAGTTAAATGATCTTGTAAGGGAGAAATTTATGGTCTTAGAGGGAACACACACATTAACACTGTTATTAATATCGCTGTGTGTTGACTTCACAAAATATTCTTTCCAAAGCATAGAAGGCAGTTCAAAAATCAGTTGTTTTGAAACCAGAGATTAAAAAGACAATTTAAAAAAATCAGTGAAACTAAGAGCTGATTTTTTGAAAAGAAAGTTGGCAAACATTTAGCTAGACTCACGAATAAAAAAGGACTCAAAAATCTGAAATGAAAGAGGAGATATTACAACTGATACCACTGAAATACAAAGGATCACAAGAGATTAATAAGGAAAAATATGCTCAACATCACTAATCATCAGGTAAATGCAAATCAAAACCACAATGAGCTGTCACTTCACAGCTGTCAGAATGGCTATATCAAAAAAGAAAACAAACACCAAGTGCTGGCCAGGAGAAAAGGGAAATCTTACGCACCGTCAGTGTGAATATAAACTGGTGCAGACACTATAGAAAAGAGTATGGAGGTTCCTCAAAAAATCTTAAAACAACTATCACACGACCTAGCAATTCCATTTCTGGGGATTTATCTGAAGAAAATGAAAACGCTAACTCAAAGACATATGCACCCCCATGTTCATTGCAACTTTATTTACAATAGCCAAGCTATAAAAGCAACTTAAGTATCTACCAATTGATGAATGGATAAAGAAAACGTGGTGTACACACACACACACAGAATATTATTCAGCCATAAAAAAGAATGAAATTTTGCCATTTGTGACAACATGCATGAACCTTGAGGGCATTATGCTATGTGAAATACGTCAGAGAAAGAAATACCCTGTGAACTCACTTATATGTGGAATCTAAAAAATAAAGCGAGAAAACTCAAGGATACAGGAAACAGATCGGTGGTTGCCAGAGGCAGGAGTTGGGCAGGGGGAGGGCACAACAAATAAAGGGTTAAAAGAACAAACTTTGAGCTATAAAATAAATAAGTCATAGGGACGTAACATACAGGATGGTGACTACACTTAATAATACTGTATAGTGTATTTGAAAGCTGCTGAGAGTAGATCTTAAAAGGGCTCATCAAAAGAAAAAGCTTTGTAACTGTGATGATGGATGTTGACTTATTGTAATAATTTTGCAATATATACAAATATCGAATCATTATGTCATACACCTGAAACTAATGTTAACTTGCAATTGAAAGAAAATGGGAAAGGAGCAGGTGGGGGGAGAGGGAAGGCTTGTCAGCTTAACTTCAGGCTTCAGAATTTATAACTATAGTGGTCACTGATTGATCCTATTAAAACGTTTGTTTCTTGGGTGATGACAGGCCACTTTTTTCAACTAGATTCATCTGGATTAACCAAAACTTGCACGAACTGCTTAAGAGATTTGAACACAGATAATAAGACTGAATACATGCTATCACTCGATGTTTCTTAAACCAAAAGAGCTTCAGTCTATAGTTGTCTCTTAATAGCAAAGACACCAAATTTAGTTTAAAAAAAATTTTTTAATGAGCTATAAAACCAGCCCGCAGTCATTTTCAGCAAAATTTTAAAACAGGGAGTCCAAACCCACCTGAGCCTCACTTTAGGCAAGAAGCCCAAGACAGAAACAAAGGCTCCTTAAACTACACAAGGCGTTCTTGATGCCAGAGTTTTTATACTGACTCAAAAAACTCACAGTAAGGTCTCTATCCCTGAGGCGTTCTCTCTGTTATACGACACCAAGGCCTGGGATGAAGCGGAGCAAGGAGACAGGGTGACGCTTTCAGTCACAGTCAATCGTATGCAAAGGCAGAAGCTAAGGCGTGAGTCCACTCAATGTCTAATGCCACTACTGGTTATCACAAATAACTAGCTTCCAAAAACTAGTTTACTGATATTACTGAAGTTCATAATAGCGAAAATAAAGCGCCTTCCCCCATTTTCCACCCCTCCAGACCAAACCCCAGCCAGCTGCTAAAGAGCTGAGTCCACCTCCCCTGAGCACAAACAGAGAAGACAAGGCCCACTGATGTTTAAAGACTTACCAAAGGTCCTGCGGCCGTACATCTAGAGGGCCAGAGGCTGGTTCCGGAGACTCCGGATCGGAGCAACAGTAGGGCAGGAGGAGAAAGAAGAAGAGCGAATTGGCGACTAGAAAGCTGGTGTGGAGAGGACGAGGAAAAGGCACGAAGATAAGCCGGATTGGCTGGGCCATACCTCGCCTCCCTCCCCTTCCCAAGTCATAGGTCTTTTCATTGGTGGAATTTTCCCCCAGCCCATTTAAATATGTCTTGATCACACCTCAAGCCAAATCAGGTTGTGGCCGTTAAGAGTGGAAAGTGAGAACTGAAAGAAATATGTAAACCATTCTCTTGACCTTTGCTGAGGCTGGGGTTGTCGTCCGCTGCTTCTGGAAAAGCTAGGGGTTGCTCCCTCTTTTGACAAAAAGAAGCTCCTTCACTGGGGTCCAGGGGTGAGCACACATTTCTAGGCTGCTTCTGGTCCCCCGCTCCCTCAGACCTCTCAGCTCTTCCTTCACACACACACACACACAAACACACACAAAAAACCAAACCCAGAATAAACAAAGCCTGTGGTTTCTGTGCCTAAACGGACATTTAAAAACCGTTAAACTTCTGAATAGCTTGTGGTCTTAAAAATGGCTGAAATTTGTGTTCCAGCAGCACATATTTAAACATCTACTGTGGCCATAAGAACTTTTATCTTTCTTTCTTTCTTTCTTTCTTTTTTGAAATGGATGAGCAGACACATATTCCATCGCCTTGAAAGCTTTGTTCAGTGGCTGCCAGGTGACACGGGCCTGTTGTAGAGGCACAGAGAATATGCAGAAAGTTGTTTAAGTACCAAAAACAGAAAAAGTAAACCACCTGCTTAAGCTGATCTCTAGTATCTTCTAATTCTTTGGACTCTAGTCTCTAAATAATTGAACTTTGATCTCATTTGAGGTGGGGAAAATACACACAGGTGGCCTAACTTCTAATTATTTCATTTCCAATGAAAGGCACAGGTGTCAAAGTCTTAACGACTGTGGTCCTTCATTTAGGGCTCTAAATCTTGTTTTTTTTCTTTTAAGCAAAACACCAACTGCCCTGTTAATCCAACATGGAGTCTATGGCTCCTTTTACCTTGCACTCTTACTTCTACTACTTCCTCTGGCTGCTCGGATTTGCTGTGGGCACTGCTGCTCTGAAAGTCTTTAATATTCTCAAGGACGCTGGTTCTCAGCTTTAGCGGCTTTTCAGATCACGTGGGCCGCTTTGAAAACTACTGAGGCCCATGTCCCACCAAAGGAGTTTCTGATATATTTGGCATGGAGTGAAGCTCAGCCACTGGGAGTTTTTAAATCTCCCCAGGTGATTCCATTTGCTGCAAAGTTCCAGAATGACTATTCCAGGATCTTTCTCCAGGGCTGACCTCGAACCAGCCATCTCTGACCTCTCATCCATGAATATTTGGTGATGAAATGTACAATGCAACTACATAGTAGGAGGGCATTGTCAACTTAGTAAACCTGTTGAGTGTGTTTTATCAGTTACTGCATTTACTTTTAGTGTAGACTGGACTTGGTCCCGGCACAATGGAAATGGATGTGTATTACCATAGAGTGCAGAAGATGCCAGAACATTATCTGACAACTGCTTATTCAGTTAGGCAAACAAAAGAAATGAAATAAGCATATCGAGAGAGAGCTATACCTATTTCTGACTCTAAATCTAAATAATATTAGAAAGTGAAAACCACGAGCGATTGTATAATGAGAATACAAGCTTGTCTCTCTCCTGAGAATGAGCAGTGACTTAAAATCAGATCTTTAATTTGGAATAATGATGCACCACATTAATCCAGATTTTACCAACTAAGACTTTGTAATTCTGAAATGGCCTAGATACTTCTTTCTGCATTCGGAGTGACTTGTTTTCTTTTTTCTTTCTTTTTTTTTTTTTTTAATCTGTGAATTTCTTAAAGCAAGAAGAATTCAGACTAAAAGCATTGTTTTCAAATGGTTTTAATAAAATGAGAATTCTGGGCTGAGCTATTCTTTTAGAGTACTTATTGGATAAACACTATTATAGCAATAGAAAACAAATTGAAAGAAAGAAAGTTTAACAGGCAGCCATGATATTCCAACAAAGCATAGTACTTTCATAGTTGAAGGTTAACTTGTATCTATAAGCAAGCAATTTAACAACAATTCCTCTAGGCAAAACTTTTCTTTCTGATAATGATACATTTTTATATAGATCTGATCTTCCATGGATTTAATTTTTATTGACATGCTTCATTTTATTTATTAAACTTACACCTTAGTTTATAAGGGATACTACTCTGGGAAAAATCAAGAGTAAGACACATTTTTTAAAACAATGCCCCATAGCAAACCTCTCCCACTTCCTAAAAATTAGTGAGACTTTGCTATGTTTAAAAATCTGCTTATTTTTGAACTTTGTTGCTTATTTTCTTCTACCTCCTTTTAATTCATGAATATATTTTATTGTAAAAAAAAATTTAAAGGATATAGGTTGAAAGCCTTCCTTCAGGGTTTCCTTCCCCTTCCCCAAACCCTTCCACTTGCCTAGTTGTAAATATTGTGTTTCAGATATATCCTTCTTGAATAAATGGGACAGTTCTATATTAATTGGCTTCAAATTCTTTTTTATCCACTAAATATGTCTTGGAGAGTTTTCAGAATGAAATATATGGATGCTTGCCACATTCTTCTATAAAGATTTTATACTCTTCTATGGAACACACGTTCCTGGGTTATTAATCATTTCCTTTCTGATTGATGATATGCTCCCAATTTTGCATTCTTCCAAACAATGAAATGCTGAACATTCTTGTACATTCCTTTCTGCATATATACAAGTCTTCCTTAAACAAATCTTTCACTTAACAGTTGATGGATATTGCTAATTGCCTGTGAATACTCTCTGCCATATTACATTCCTACTATCAATGTTTGTGAGGGAATTCCTTGCATCTTTAATAGTGGTAGATGACACCGATCTTTAATTTTTAACCAGCAAATGGGTGAAAATAGTTCACATTGTTTTAGGTTGCTTTTCACAGTTTATTAATGAAATTGAGTTTATCTAGAGTATTTATTGTCCATTCATATTTCTTTTCTATCTTTATTGCAGAATTGAACTTTCTAATCTCTTTCATGGCTATTGGTCTCCACACCAGCATTCTAATTAAGACCAATCTCCTTGGCAGAATTTCTAAATTATTACCAGGAACCAATGCATCGTGGTTTACTAAAGCATCAAACTGTCTGATGATGTTTACCGTGATCTCACAATCCTGCGAATATGAGTGTTCCTTCAACTAGGCTGCCTGCATCAGAAATACTCAGGTGCTGGGGCTTCCCTGGTGGCACAGCGGTTAAGAATTCACCTGCCAGTACAGGGGACACAGGTTCAAGCCCTGGTCTGGGAAGATCTCACATGCCACGGAGCAACAAAATCTGTGCGCTACAACTACTGAGCCTGCACTCTAGAGCCTGCGAGCCACAACTACGGAAGCCCTCATGCCTAGAGCCCGTGCTCCGCAACAAGAGAAGCCATCGCAATGAGCTCGTGCACCGCAAGAAGAGTAGCCCCACTCGCCGCAACTAGAGAAAGCCTGTGCGCAGCAACAAAGACCCAATGCAGCCAAAAAGAAATAAATTAAATAAATAAATAAATTATATATATATATATATATATATATGAAATACTCAGCTTCTTATGTAAAATGTAAACTCCATAGTCCTTGGGTGACTCATGACAACTGGGAAGGAAGACATGAAATCTGCATTTCAAATAAATCTCACAGAAAATTCTGAAGAACAGTAAATTCATAAGGAATTAACTAGACATGTTTTGGACTTTTATTCATTTTTTTAAAAAGTAAAGTAGGGAATATGTTGGATTAAAGAAGACATAAATTCTTAAATTTCCATGGAAAAAATGACACAGATATTAAATTTAATGACATTCATAAGATCTCTCCAAGTGGAAAAAACATTAGCAACTTAAAAATTTACATTTACTTAAAAATTATAATAGCTTGCTTCCTGCAAGAGCTGATCATGTAATTTCTATTTGTTCCTATAATTAATAGAAACATTCTAATCTCAAAGACAATCTTTCTGTTTTAAAAAACAGTTGTCTGTGTGGCATGCTAATTGCTAGCAGGATTTGCATCTATGGGAAAGAGGTCCTGGGAATGAAGGAAGGAGCACTGAGATCTGTCTGAATCCAAGCCTGTGATGGGATGACATGCTCTGTCTCAGACAGACACGAAAGGAGGGCTGCGGGACATCTGCCAAGCAGAGATGTCACTAAGGAACAAGAGCCAAAGGGAGAGGACAGGGGAGAGATGGTGAAGCAGGGGAAACCAAGAAACCATCATTTAAAAAAAAAAAGGGGGGAGGCTTCCCTGGTGGCGCAGTGGTTGGGAGTCCGCCTGCCGATGCAGAGGACATCGGACACGGGTCTGTGCCCCGGTCCGGGAAGATCCCACATGCCGCAGAGCTGCTGGGCCCGTGAGCCATGGCCGCTGAGCCTGCGCGTCCGGAGCCTGCGCTCCGCAATGGGAAAGGCCACAACAGTGAGAGGCCCACACACCGCAAAAGAAAAAAGAAAAAAAGAAAGCTGGGATGGGGCGAAAGAAGTAGTAAGGAAAACATTAAGAACACATCGAATATATTTCTTTAAATTAATGGTAAATGGTTAATTTCCAGGTAAATAATTATAATTTTAAGCCCTCCATTGTGATTGATTTGTGTGATTATGACTAACATTTTGGTAAATTGTGATGTTCATTTGCATTTCTGTTTCATTTCTTTGCTGACAGTTTTGTACAAACCATTGCCAGCTGTATTTTTCTTATACAGATATTTTCACTTGATTATTCTAGAAATTAAAATTTTAAAAGTGGGAGCAAGCTTTTGAAACAAGAATGGCTTGTGATCAGTGATTTACTGTCATTGTTGTCATAATCTTAATCATCTTCATTTCTTAGCCCTTTTACTTTAAAATGGATTTTCCTATGACCCAGATATAAGATGATAAATACCTGAATATATTAGATAGAAAATACAGGCTGA